AGCCTGTCCCAGCACCCTGGCGTCGCTCACCACTTTGTTGGGGTCATTGCGGTGGTTCTCCATGCAGTGCTTCACCAGCTCCTGCTGGTCCAGGTTCCGGGCCCCACAGTACGGGCACACAAACGTTGAGCGATTGGGAATATTGCTAAAGAGAACAAGGACGAGCTCAGATCCCCTAGGGAAGGGACTAAATCCACTCCTTCCAAACTAACCCAGCCACCCCCTGCTCAGCTTTATAACACCCATGCACAGCCCATTCCCACCCCAGTGCAGGTTGAACCGCCCTGGCTTGGTCCTTCCTCCAAAACACAGGGCAGCACAGGGGCTGCAGATGCCTGGAGGGAAAAGGTGCTGACATTTCTCCCTGTGATTGCCCAGTGGAAAGCAAAACACATGCTTGGACTTTAGGGCTGGTAAGGGAGGGAAGCGCCAGTGCAGTCTGCAAGAAGGGACACTTTTCCCTACCCGATGTGTGGCGGTACCTGGGAATAGGCTGGGACGTGGGGACAACGGGAACGAACTTGGGGCAGTTGGCCATCTGCTCCTGCACCTTCGCACAGGACGAGACGTGGGAGCGCATTTTTGCAAGGGTCACCTGGAGAACAAGGAGAGAAGAAACGTTCCTGGAGGCTTCAGGAACAAACACCTTCCAGACGCAGCGCTGGAGCCTCTGCTGCAGCTTGGGAGAGCAGTTTTGGTCAACTGACATCAGAGGGAACACTGGTCTGTGCAGGATGACCCACAGCAGCATGGAAACGCTGCACCAGCCCATCCTTCCTCGCAGGGCGGAGATTTGGGGCTGCATGCTCACTGCATGTGTCCCCAGAGGTCACACACAAGCCACTCAGGCAGCATTCTTGTAGCGCTAGCTCCATTTTCCTTTGCAAAAGAGGAACTGCTGGCATGCAGAAACCCCAAACTGCTCTGACACGGTACAGGACTGTTCCTGGGCCGCAGCCAGGGAGTTACAAAAAGATCCTCAAAATTAATGGAAGCCAGAAAACACATCAGTGGAGATGCACCACGAATCACAGCTTTACGGCCAGTCCCTGAAGCGTCCCAAGACCAGACTGCCCCAGGCTGGGCCAGGCTATGCTGCCACTTCAGCTCCCCCACGGCTGCCAGGATCACAGCACCTTAAGCGAGACCTAAATCCTTACCCTCGTTAGGAGCAGTGGCAGACCTGGTTTTTCTCAGCCTCTCCCGTGTTGCAGGAAAACCTCGGCCTGCTTTTGAAGGTCCCCACTGTCTAATAATAGCTCCGGTCTGCTGACAAAGGCAGCTGGGAGAGAGCGCCTTCATCTCCGCACAGCCCCGCTCGCCTGCCTCACGGCAGCAGCTGTGACACCCAGGGGACACCACACCTTGCAGGTGCAGTTTGGGGACCCATGGAACGGGAGACTCTGCAAACCCAAATGCGGACAGCAAGCAATCTCCCTCCCCCCGCATCCGAACGAAGCCGTGTCCACACAGGATGGGGACAGGCAGCCTTCCCCTGCGAGCTTTACCTTCTTGCTGCAGCCTCTGCAGGGAGCTTTGTAGGACGAAAGCTGTTTCTCCACGCTGGAAGCCTTCTCCACCTTCTTGGGGTCGAAGGGCATGCGGCAGAGTGGGCAGAGAGGGGACGGCACTTGGAGGCAGGGCTGCAGGCACTCCCCGCAAAACCTGGGGGGCACAGAGAGCAGCACTGAGCCACCTGGTGGCGGGCCCAGCCCAGGAGAAGGAGGGGAAAGCAGGACCCCAGCCCCAGGGCACACCCGCTCGCAGGGACTCCTGTGCACCCCAGGAAGCTCCAAAACCCAGGGATTGGTATCCCTGCTTTGAGAACTGGGAGCTTGGGAGAGGGTGTGGGGAGCCGAGCGCTGAAGGAGCTCCCTGCACGCACGGCCAGGGCTCAGACAACACCGCTGCTCTGAGGCTCACAGCCAGGAGCAGATACAAATGGAGCCAAACAAAAACGGGTGCTGAGCACCCAGGCCATGCAGGGAACAAAGCGAGCAAGCGCTT